CTGAAATGACGCTGCTTTAGGGCCAGTGTGTGATAACGTCCTTTAACTGCCATAGCTCCATTCTACAGAATCCTAGGATTTGAAATTTGGTGAAGCCAGCAAACTCTGGAGACCAGGGTTTGATTCCCCACTCAGCCATGAAACCCATTGGGTGGCCTTGGGCAAGCCATGCTCTCAGCATCAAACCTCCTCTGAACAAATTTTGCCGAGAAAGCTCCATGATAGGGTTGCCATAAGTCAGAAATGACTTGATGGCACACAACAATAACAACAAAGCTACTATTAACTAACAGTATAAACACTCTTAGGACATTATCACACGTGGGCCAGAAAGCGATAATAAAGTGGAAATGAGGCATTCCGAAAATAAACGGAAAATAAACCTTGATTCTGCAAATGGCTTTCACACGTAATTACCTTAATTGTGAATTTACAGTAAGCGCATTTAACGTTCACACACAAGTGAGAAAAGCCCGTAAATGTATACTAGAAATGAGCTTCTTGCACATGCGCAGATAGAGGAATGCTCGCTGGAACAATGGGAAAAGCAGGGAAATGCTCCCAAATTCGCATTTCCCTGCTTTTCACATTACGGTAAATGTGAAATTACTTTAATTTTGCATTTGCATTTCCTCCAAACAACCGAATTTCAAAAGGTCTCGGTTAACACCAGTTTTTGTCTACTTTCTGTCCAGTTTCTGTGCGATGTCGTGTTAAAACGCGGGGCACAAATCCAGTTTCTGTTTGGGATTTGTGTGGATTAACCAACAGATTTGCCCCCGTGTGATAACGTCCATAGGCTAAATCTGCACTACAAAAAAAATGCACTTTGACACAACTTTAACTACCATGGCTCAGTGCCATGGAATTCTAGGATTTGTAGTGTTGTGAGATAATTAGCCTTCTCTGCCACAGAGCTCTGGTGTCACAACAAACTACAAATCCCAGGATTCCATAGCATGGGGCCATGGCAGTTAAAGAACGGTTATCCTGCATTATTTCTGCAGATTCATTAATGCCACCCTCTCTTCCCACTTGAGCCTGTACACTCACTGAAAGAAAAGGTCAGTGTCCCCATGCTTTCAGGTGTTTGGGTGGCCAGAAGATAGAGGACAGTTGTAACAACCAGGTTATGGAACTCCCACCTTGGAAGCTATGGGCTTTTTATTGGCATCATTAAAATATTTTTGTGCCTTTGTGCTGTGCCTTTGGCTTGATCTCCTTGCACCTCCCACCCCTTTCTCCACTTTACCAGTTTAGCATTTGGCTTCTGATTGTACATTATTTTACCTAAATTTGCTGAGGTACCTTTACACATAAAATTCCAAAAGGCAGCTTGTAAATATTTTACTAAAAATATTTTTAAAACTTTTTAGTTAATATTCTGATAAATAAATAAAATGAAGATAAAATAAGGGATACATGAATAATCAAGGAGGTGTTCCTGGGCTAATACATGATGTCACATGCACTACTGGGTTGCTGGATTTATTTATTTTAATTTATTTTATTTTATTATATCTGGCCTTTCTCCCAATACAGGGACTCAAGTCCTGGATGAGGACTTCTTTGCCCTAATTGTATTAGGATCTGTGCAATCATAGAGTTTACAGGTCAGATCTGTATCAAAATATTATAGTGTTGAATACTTCAGGACTTCAGACATTCCATTCTGATTCCCCCTCCCTGCTGGTCTTTTGCTATGTTTCCTAGTAGTCAGTATGCTATGAGCATTGAGCATGCTCATGCCTCCTTGGGCTATTGGGTGTGCATATGTAAAAATTCCCCTTGATAGTTCTGGTAGAGCATTTCTGCAACTTCCTCTGTGCCTGTGGAGACCTCCCTCTTGAGAATGGTTAATGTTGTTTTGGCCAAAATTCAGAAACATTAATTTGATTCAACTGCAACTCCCAGGAACAAGATTCTCATGTCCAAAAAAATCCCCCATAACTTTTCCAAGGTGTAGATTTAACTATATAAGGGCCATAAGAAAAACTAGAGGACTCATTAGTATTATAAGTGTTGTGACTGGCAACAAAATGTTGCTGTGTGCTTTCATACAAAGTTCCATCCATCCATCTATCCATACTGGATACTCCATTCTATCCTCCATCCATGCTCCCACCAACCATAACAGGCAGGCAGTATCTCATGGCTTCTGAGCAAACACTGTCATCCTTGGATCCTTTGAGGTCCTCCCCAACATATTTAATATTTCCACCCTGCCTTCCTCCCTGATATCAGGATTCCCTTGAGCATGTTGATACTTTCCTCTTTTGCACAGCAAGTGTAATTTTGGCTGCATAAGGACACATACTTGGAAAACTGAGCAGAAAAAAAATGGAGACATATTTCAGTGTGCTTAATGGATGGATGGTTTATTGATTAAAAAGCCCAATGCACTGTAGCCTGTTTATGCCCTCAAAGGCCACCTTCAGGAACTAAATCATAAAAAATAGACAACAGCTAATATGCAATAAAATAATGCATAATTTTACAATGTATGAGATCATTTATTACATTTGTACACTCCCTATGGTCTGTACCTACATATTTGAAATGTAGCTTCAGAAATTCCTTGAGCTGAATTCTCACAGCATTTACCAGACAAAAAGAAGAAACATTAACTATAAGAGTATTTTATTTTAATATCAGCAGATGGTCAGGAAGGGGGGAAATGGTTTGTGGGGCATAGTGGTTTGAGTGTTGGACTGCAACGCTGAGGACCAGGGTTCAATTCCCAGCTTGGCCATGAAACCCACTGGGTGATCTTAGGCAAGTCACACACTCTCAGCCTCAGAGGATGGCAATGGCAAACCTCTGAACAAATCTTGCCAAGCAGTATCAAGCAATTAATTAATCAGTTGATGTATTAAATAACTCACTGTCATCAGAGTTTGAAACCACTTAGAATTGCTGGTAATGAGAGTAATTAATTAATGTGATGGGAAACTGGAAAATTATATCATTGTTGGGCATTTTAGCAATTATGTTTGTTGCTAGAAAATGTAATGAATTAGTTTAACAAATTGATTTTTAACTAATTATTTCCAGGCCTTAGTTTGTGGACATGCCCTAGCACCACATAAGAATATATGAAGAGCCATGTTGGCCTAGACCCAAAGTTTATCTGTTCCAATATTTCTTTGACACAGTGGCCCAGCAGGAGCCCACAGAAGGCCTGTCAGCAGGACTTGAGTGCAATTTCATCCTTTGTCTCAGACTCCCTAGCAACCCATACACAAACTACTTCTGATAGCAGAGGTGATATATAACCATCACACAGTTCTAGAAGTAGAGTAGGACTTGAGTCTGATGTATTAAAGCCTAAAATTGAACAGCAGATTTAAGTTATGTTTTATGCCAGCTCTCACTCCTGCTGCCTATATTTGCAGACTCAAAAATATTACATGCAGCTGATCCATAGCTAGAAGACTTTTTCCATCAGAAACAGTATTCTCAGGACCAGGACACTAATCTGCAAGAGGGCATTGAAATATGTTGCTTTATTTGTTGTTGTTGTTGTTTATTGTTGTGTGTTGTCATTTCTGATTTATGGGGTCTTCTTGACAAGATTTGTTCAGAGGAGGTTTGCCATTGTATTCCCCTGAGGCTGAGAGCATGTGACTTGTGTTACCCTAAGGTCAGGCCCCTTATCACCCCTCAATTTTGATATCAATTTAATATTGAAAGGGATGTTGGGGTGGATGACCTCGAAAGGCAACTCCACTGCAGAAAACTGGCCATGCCATATTTGAAAATCCAGTTGGCTCTAGCAAGGGAGGAAGCAAAGGCACCCACCATAATGAGATCACCCAAAACATCAGCATAATCCCTTTGTCTATGGAGGGCTATGATGGGACTCTGACTGAAGAAGGTGGTTGTGCATACACAGAGAAAGGATTCTTCTCCAGTAGTAGGAATTTTCCTTTGTCTGAGATATTCATGCCAATTATCTGAACATTTCCTCAATCTCCCAACGATTCTGTCTTGGGAAAACCATTTAACAGTGAGGTAATCCATTCATTCTGAGATTACTGCCCTGGCATATGATTTTGAGTATATATACCACTGCCTGCACACTGGCAATTTGGTCTAGACTGAAGCAGGACAGAAACTCTGTTCAACTTCTACTAGATTCCTCAATAAGCTGGCCATCCCACTTGCTGAAGTGGCTATTGAGCCATTTCCATTCTGGACGCCCCTTGATTAGAACCAGACTTCAAGATTGGTACAGTATTCCCATTAGCAAGTCCTCTACTTTTCACCTTCTCCCACCTTTGCTTCATTAGTTCTTGTGTGTGTGCATGATTGTGTGTCCATGAGTGTGTTGATTATTTTATTAATAAAACTGCAAAATCTATTTGGAATTGCCTCT